GGCTCCGAGAGCCGCCGTGAGACGGAGCCCTCCCGCCCTCCCCCGCGATCGCGGCTTTGCTGGAGGGACGTTCAAAGAGGTGAAGGTCTGGAAACAAAAAAGTCGCGCCTGGGACACGATTACGCAGCCGATTCTGGCCCCAACCCGGAAGTTTATGTCGCGAACACGTGTTGGTGGGAAGGTGGCAGGGCTACAGCCGCCGACCCTCCGGCCCTCCCGCCGCCTCCCCTGGGGCTTCCCCGCCCGGCAGAGCCCTCCCGGGGCCCCGCAGCCTTAGGGGAGCTGAACCGCAGCGACAGACACGGCCTCAAAGTCCAGGGACTCAAACACAGGTTGCTAGGGTGAGTAATTATTTAACGTAGAAATGCCCCTATAGTCTGAAGGGGAAGAGGCCTTGTGGGTTTTTCTTCCTTGCGGGGTTTTTTCTTCTATTTTTTTAGGTTGTTTCTTTATTATTTTTAGCTGACCAAGTTCCACACTGAGTTTGAGAGTGTAAATTGTACTTCCTTCCAGGTACTCATAGGTTGGTTTTACATGTTTGGTATCTCTTACAGATGAGGTCAATTTTTTAAATGCTTAAAAATACCTCTGAATTGATCTATTAGATAACTCCAAAGCAAGTAAATAAAATTATTGGTGTAACCAAATGACACGATCTAAAGTTAAGAATTAACTCAGTGATAACCTCTTTGGCTTTAGACTACCAGCACTGTGTCTGGATTAAAATTATTTCAATACCTGAGTGTTTTGCAAGCTGCACTCCCTGAAAATTGAAGAACTGTAGTTGATGATGTAAAGCAAAGAATTTATTATGGCAGAAATTGTGTAACAACATGACATTTGGATTGGTTTTCTGTATCTGCCTTACAGCCATGAGATGTTCTATTTGTATGCAATTTTAGTCTTTAGACATAAAATGTGGGCAGTTTGTCTGGTTGTCCAGACAATTTCTTTGCTTTCAGAACTGGCTGAGAGCTGCTCTAAAAGCCATTGGAGCAGGTCAGGGATATAGGGAGTGCATTTTTGGTGCTCTGAGGTGCACCTGGAACTGGCTCCCAGGCCAGAACTAAGGAGGGGTTGTAGTGCTCTTGTGCTGCTCTTATCTCCTTGACTTTTCACTTCTTAAAACTTTTGCTACTGGTTAAATTATCACCTCCAGCCATTTAGTCCAAAAGCTGATTTCATGCCAAATCATTGCATTGTAAAGTCTCTTAATATTTGAAGAACTTCTGAATTCCACATTTTCAGACAGCGTATCCTGACTGCTGTAAATTTTGCAGAAGTCATTAAAGAGCTTTGAGGCAGAGTGTAATCCCACAGCACCCTGAACTATCCCTTGTGTCCTTGCAAGCTTTGACTTTAGAGAGGTAACCAACATTGGAAAGATGGGTAGGATTTTTTCCAGGATTGGATTAACTTCTGATTTTTGTGAAAACAACCTTGCACATGTAAATGAAACGTTAACTACTGGTCTTGGGGTTAAGGCAGGGAAGGATGAGCAGTTCAGTAATTAGGGTTTTACTCTTTGATTGGATGGGGACTTGGAAAGGGCCAGGAGGGGTTGGGCTGGTTGGGTTTTTTCTTTTGTTGTTGCCCAGGTTGCCTTCTGGAGCCAAAAGCTGGGAGGTGAGCAGAACCCACGTGGATATCCAGAGAATCCTGTTGTGTGGGGTGGGGGTTAACAGCCCTTAAACCTCTTTTGGGAGAGGCTGCAAAGAAAGATGTGAAACTTTCAGATCATTAATAACTCAGTTTAGACTAGCAGGGAATTTGGGGGGTGTGTCTGTCTTGTCTCTACAACTGCAGTATTTGTGTGCTTTTTTAAATGGCTTCCAGGTGACATGTATTCCTCCAAAAGCCAGTGGGATAAACCCTTCCAATAAAATGAGAACAGGAGTTGCCAACTCCATTGGTGTCCCAGGCCAAGCACTAACACCCAAGTTTGCAGTTGGATTCAGGACAGAGCCCAGGTGTCCAGAGGGTTTGGGAATAGCTGTGCCTGGTTGATTGTGATGTTTGATTTGGACTAACCTGTGATTCTATAATTGATTATGGTTTTTAAATAAGCACTTCAGGCTTACGGTGTCACAGTGTGTAACTCACAGACCTGAAAATCAAAAGCCACTTCATTGTTTGGGATTCAACCATTATCTTTCTCAGGGCAAACAGAGCAGGTTGCTCGACATGTGTTTTAAAATCTTTTTTTCTTCTTTTTTGTTTTGCTTTTTGTACCAAAGCTAAAATGGAAGGAAGGAGAGAGCCAGGTTGGCATGGATACATGACATAGTATTAAACATGGCATTCTGGTTTTGTGTCTTTAAATCAGAAATTATTTACATAATACCAAACAGTGGTAGCAAAACTGTCTTTTTATCAAAGTTTTGGGCTGTATTCTTCAGCAGAAGAGAACCTTATAGAAATGCTTGATGTGTTTTGGTAGCACTTCTTGAAATGGCAGCAGTTTACATTTTTTCTTAATACAAGGAAAATAATTGAGAAACTACTGTTGTTGACATTTTATAAATACTTTTTTTTAGTTTTATTTCATAGGTTGATTTTTGCTCAGTGACATTGAACAACCTCACTAAACATAGACAATCTTATCTGCAAGATTCTGCACACTCAAAACAGTTCTTGGAGTGATGAAATGCTGAGGGAACAGCTTGTAATATTCACAACTTTTTAATAAGTATTTTCTTTTGGAGATTTTGAAGATGTGGCAAACAGGTCCTTATATAGTATTGCCAAGGCTGAGCTGCAGAGCTTGATAAAGTCACTTTTCACTTAACTGAGGAGCCTCCTACCTTGCAAGATTATGGAGCTGTTTCAGCCTGATAATGTTTTAGGCTTAACCAGCATGTGTTACAGAAAATAAACTCAGCTACCACAATGCAGCTTCTCCTGTATTTTTCTCCTCATCTAATTTCCTTGCTAAATTAAAACAGGGAGGGTGGGCAGCAGTGGGGCTTGGAAGTTACACAAAGCCTAAAATTGGTGCTAAGTATTCAGTGACTTTTAATGTAAAAATTCTGGAAGTTCAGAATTCCTTTTGTTCCAAACAATGCAGCTTTGTTCCTAGTGTACAGAAACAAAATAACTGAAACTAGTCAAACTTTCATTGTCCAAACTGACAGACAAACAATTGCAGTTGTTTTACTGAACTTTTTGCTGGATTGTGAGCAACCACAAATTTTTAAGACTTAAAATTGGGGTTATCATGAGAGAGATGCAGCTGGGGGATTTCTCAGTGACAAGGGATGCCTCTGGAGATACCCTGGAATTGTAGAAATTGCTTTGCTGGTTCCCCTCACCAGTCATCTAGTGAAAACTTAGAAATAAGGAATTAAAGCATTACTTCTGAACTCTGTGAAACTGTCTTAAGATATCTGAGCCATCATGGTTTTAAAGGTTAAAAATGTCAAGCTCAGTGTCATCATGGGTATGTTAAACTTGACTTAAAAGAGACTTGATGGGTGGTGACACCATTTTAGGATGGCTGGGGAAGATGTGTTTGTGTGGTGTTGGCGTGAGGGTTTTTTTCTAGCCTTGGTTTTGTTTTGAGTCTCAACTTCATAGAAAGGCCTTTCCTTTGTACATTGTGAGAGTAGACTAGAAATCATCTGGAGTAATTCTTTTTCTCCTAGTTCTCTTGAAGTAAACAACCCCAGGCTTCAGACTTTCTGTGCCTCTATTCAGTGCAGCCACTTATCTCTCAACCAAGTTTTGGTCATCTGTCTTTGGAGATCAAAACTCCATCCAGACCAAAGAATGACACAAGTGACATTTTCTTCTCTTGGACACTGAAAGATTTTAGTTTATTCATCCTTTGAGCACTTTGTGGAAGGGTGTTCATGCCTCTTCCTAATGGATACTGTAAAGTTATGATTGTAGAGTGTTTTGGAGCTTCTGTTTGATGGGGTGACTTGTGTGAATTCCCCTTCTGTGGAGAAATTCACCTTCAGTGGCTGCCCTGAGTTCTGAACACCAAAATTACTGATAAGCAAAGACTTCCTTTGCACACTTGAGCCTTTCTCCCCTCACCTGTTTTTAGTTAGTAAACAATGCTGTAAGTGTCTAAACTTAGATGGGATGGTCACTGGTAGGATTTTAGCCTGATGAAAATGAAGGCTTTATCTTACCCCATTAATATATATAATCCCCTTTTTTGAGATGGGAACCTCAATCCTTCTGAAAGGTGAAGCTGAATGTCAGTTCTTAATCATTTTTCTTGACCAGTTCAGGCTTCCAGGAGACAGGCTGGTGGGTTCATTAAATCTGCTGGGTGTCTTAATGTTTCTTAATGTCTTCTGTACCTGGTAACTACAAACCAGGCTATTCTGCCAATTTATCTGATCACCTGAAATGCCTTTAAAAACAGAGTCTGGTTCTGACAAGCAAGTGGTGTTTGATGGGGTTGTGTGTGGTCAGTAGCAATCCTGCCAAGTGTTCCTTACTTAGATACTCTTTTGGGTGTCTTTAAATGTTTGCTTAAAAGTGTATCTTCCCCTTGTCCCAGTACCTCAGATCCACTGCTTCACTTGTGGTGCCATCATCTTGGTGTGAATCCACTGAAGGAAGGTTTCTCCCTGCCATTGGACAGACTAAAACTAGGAAGAATAAGAATTAAGTGCCCCAGGCTTAACTTATTACAAGAATTACCTGTTCTGCCAAACGTGCTGAGGAGTATGTGTGACCAGCCAGCTGGATGTGCTGAGCTGTGCCTGTACAAAGGAGAAGCAAGGGAATGCTGTTTGGGAGGCTTGGGAAGGAATATCTAAAATGCCAACAAATATTCTTGTCTTCTTACCTGCTTGAGAGTAGGTGTTTGGCTTCGGTGGGTTTTGGCATTTTGTTGTTTGTTACCAGTGGGTGTAAAGGGGGTGTGGAGAGTAAGTGAAGTGAAGACCTACTTGAGCTGTATCTTAACCTGTAAAGGCAGCAGCTCAAGTTCTGTGGAATCATTTAATTTTTGTCTTAATACTCGGGCAGGGTTTCTTTCTTAAGCAAGTGAAGCACGTTATCTTCCTTCTTCATCTTTAAACATGGACTATTTGGCTTTTTAATAAGTTTTTACATTGTCTAGAATAGCTTTTTGAAATTAATTTTGCTTGTCCTCCACATAAAGGAGCCTGTGACCTGCTGGTGGTGTCCTATTTAATATATAGTTACACACTATAATAGTGGCACGTTTGCTCTTTCCACCACGCCAAACAAAATTTCTCCAGTGAATGAATGTAACCTAATGTAGCAGCAAGCAAGAAATAAAAGCTTTCCTTAAGCTCTTTATCACTAACTTGTTACAAGATAAAGTAAATGAGTTTTAATTGTGCTTCCCTCCTGCCGTTGCTTCACTGACAAAGACAGTTCATTAGCATAACACAGTCTCACCATTTCTGCTTTTGGTGTGTCTTGTGATGCTTGAAAATGAAGTGCAACAAAGACTAGAAAAGGTGGGTTTTTAAGTTTATGGCCATGATAACATTGTAGTAAACTGTTTAATTCTTCCTGCTTGTAAATGTGGTGGGTATATTAAAAATATTTTTAAAAACAAAACAGAGGAAAAACCTACAAACAGAAGAACCAGCAAATCTAGAAAGTGAAACTCTGTGTCCAAGAGGCTGCACCTAAATCCGGGAAAGGGAGTGCTGTGCATGCGAAAAAATAGATCAAAATTAAATGTAACTTGTATTTACAGTTCTGTTTCTTTTTTCTTTTCAGAGATGGTGGAGCCAGGACAAGATCTGTTGCTTGCTGCTTTGAGTGAGAGTGGAATCAGTCCAAATGATCTCTTTGATATTGACTCTCCGGACGTGGTTCTTGCAAATCCAGCACCAACTCCAGCTGTTCAGCAGGTTAAAACAAGAACAGGGGTTTGCTAGAGGACATGAGAGCTTGGGCTTGGTGTGTTGGGAGGGGTGGGGAGGGTGGTGTTCACAGTGAATGCTTGAAGAATGTGGAGTTTTCATAGACTTCTTGTTTCATAGTACTGAGTTGGGAAAATGACTTGCTATTAATTTTAAACCTTTATACAAAAAAGCAATCTGAAACACTTTAGGTCAGCACAAACATAAATGAGCTTAATTTGTGGACATGAGGTGGAGGATGCTGTCATGTGTGAGAACTTTTCTGTCACTGGAGTCTGGCCTCTCTACTATAAAATGCACAAAAACTGTAACACAATACCGGGTTTAAGCTCCAAGATAGCCTTCAATCTGCCAGACTGTAACAGTTTCAGCCTGGGAACAGAAGCCTTGAGGTTTTATTCCTGCTAACTTGTTTCCTGATGCTTTGTTTCTGCAGTCAGTACCTCTTAGTGCATTAGAACTGGGCCTGGAGGCTGAGGCTGCATCTGCTGTGAAACAAGAACCAGAGACTGTTTCTACTCCAGCCTTATTAAATGTTCGGGTAAGAACTGGTGCTCCAGGATCTGTGTGTGTGGTGTGGTGGGTTCACCTGGGCTGGACATCAGGTGCCCACTGAGCTCCTTTATCAAACCCCCTCCTCAGCTGGACAAAGGCTGAAAACGAGGTGAAGGGCTCCTGGGCTGAGATAGGCACAGGGAGATGAGCAATTTGTCTTGGGCAGACCAGCCTCAGCTTGGGGAAATGAATTTATTGCCAGCTAACAATGGAGTAGGATAATGAGAAATAAGAACAAATCTAAAAATACCTTCCCTCCACTCCTCCCTTTGTCCTGGGCTCAACTTCAATCCTGACATCATCATATGTTGTCTTTGCTGCTCCTCGTTCCTCATGCTTCTCCTCTGCTTCTGCAGCTCCTTCACAAACTTTCCAAATGTGGGTCCTTCCCATGGGCTGCAGTTCTTGATGAGCTGCTCCAGCTGTGTCTCCTGTATGGCCACAGGTGCTGCCAGAAAGCCTGTTCTGGCATGGACTCCTCTCCATGGGGTCACAGTGTCCTTTGGGCACATCCACCTGCCCTGGGCTGCAGGTGGATCTCTGCTCCACTGTCACCTCCGTGGGCTGCAGGCAGACATCCTGCCTCACCGTGGGCTCCAGGGGAATCCCTGCTCCAGCACCTCCTCCCTCTCCTTCACTGACCTTGGTGTCTGCAGTTTATGTATTGGGAATTCTCTTTAGCTCAGGGTTCCTGTACCTGTAGTAGTCATGTCTTGTACCTGGATGATGAATCCTTCATCCTGGTTTTTTTTATTTTCCTTACCTTAAAATAACATTTAAAAATAACTTTAAAAATATGTGCAGCAATATATTGAAAGACACTTCTTGCAGCACAAGATAATTACTCTGGCATCTTCAACATGTTATTTGAAGTCATTTCTTATTACAAGTGTCTTCTAAAACCTGGTATCTCCTGCTGATGAAAGGCTAATAAAGTCTGCTTGGGTTTTTTTTATTGTTTTCTGAAAATCTCCCTGGTTCTCTGTTGCCAGCAACCACCATCCACCACAACCTTTGTGCTGAATCAAATAAATCAGCTTCCAACTCTGGGGACTACAATTGTGATGACAAAAACGACGCCTGTCACCACCACCAGACAGACCATCACTGTAGCAAAGATCATCCAGACCAGCACAACCACCCGGCCCTCGGTGGCAGCACCAGCAGTAAGAAATGCCTTGACCACTGCACCTTCCAAGGACCAGATTCAGCTGAAAGATCTGCTCAAGAATAATAGTCTTAATGAACTCATGAAACTGAAGCCACCTCCTAATATTGCCCAACCAGTAGCAACAGCAGCAAGTGAGTTTTCTTCTTTTTTTTTCACCATTACAGTATTTAAAATAGTAAAATAATGATCTTTGCACATCTTGGGTTTTCACTGATTAGTACAATACCATGGTAAAATGAAATGATTGAGAAAAATTATAAAATTCATTCTAACTTTAATAGTGTTCAATTCAATAGTATAAAATAACAGACTTCTTAAAAAATTAAGCTCTTGATTTACTTCATGGAATGAGGAAAATGACATTTTTGATTGCAGCTGGAAAATTAGTAAAATTAATCTATGAGCATTACTGAAAACAATTAACTGTCTTATTGGAGTCTGCATCAGTTCCTGTTGTACTGTGTACTTGCTGTGCAACTGTAACAAACTAGTACCTTGTTTGGCATCTTCCAAACTAGATTTGTAGCACATGCTACAAATGGTGCTCCTGGGATAAGGTGTTCCTGTAAAGTATCTCCTGCAAAAGAAAAATCTGTCCCTCTGTTTCATTAGAGGCATCAGATCTATTGTTTAAAAAAAATTTAAATCCTAAAAACTTGCTGTTCATTTTCATGTCATCTCTGAAATGTTGTGTTAACTTAAATGCCAAAACTATTTTGTTACCACACTCCCAATCTTTGTTTTATGATTCCTTTCGAAATACTTCCTTCTATGTTATTTCTAACATGTGCTCAACTTAATATAAGGGAAAAGCTGCATGTGTGTGAAATTCTGATTTAATTCTTTCCTGTTCCTCTGATTTCAGCATGAGGTTAAGGTCAGACTACTTAGAAAATATCTTTATTGCTGTTGTTTTTCTGTAAGGTACACAGGCTTTTTCTGGGTTTCTTTATTTTCATTGTGTCTGAAATGAGCTTTGCTGATTTTATAGGTGTGGTTGACATAACCTATTTTCCGTCTGCAGATCGAGAGTGCAGTGAATGAGCTGCCTGGGAGGACTGAAACAAAAAGCAGAATGTGCCTCCTCATTTCATTGCTTTCTGTTAGGGAGTGGTTGACAAAACTTAAAGTTCAGCCCCTAAATGAAGTTGGGGTGGGGGTAAAGGAGTGAGGAAGAGGAGAGAAGGTTTTACAGGACTGACTTATCCCCTTGGTGCAAAGTGAAAACTCACAGAAGCACAGAATAGGTGACATCAATCCACAAATTGTTATAGTGGCACAGCTGTAGAAAATATTGAATCTGTAGCATCTGTAGGAAGTAAAAAGGAGACATGCAACTTCCAGAACTGCATTTCTAATCTTATTTGTGTTCTTATGTTTCTGTAATTTTTTTCATGTTTATAAAAAAAAATTGACAATACTTGTGGCAAATTGAAAGGCAGAGAAGCTCTTGAAAGGAAACATGGTCTTTTTGTATAATTCAGGCAGCAGGAGTTCTAGATTGGAAAATATTAAAAAGTTGAATTATGCAATGTCTTTGAGGAAAATTTTTATTTGTGCAAGTGCCTTAATTGGTTTTTTTGGGGCATTTATGCTAAATTTATTACACAATGGAAGCTTGACAGCGGGTTTCAATGTTTTACATATATCCTTGTGTAAATCACTTTTGTTCTGTACTGAGCCCCATTGCCAGTTGCTTCCAAATGTGACTGAGGACAGGAAAGTTAATAAATGGTCTTCTTAAAGGATCCTGTTATAAACTTTAAACAATTGAGTCCAAAGTGTTGACTTTTTGTTTTACAGAACTAATTGTAGTTTCTTCTAAGGTGGTAAATGCCACCAGACCAGGTAAGTTCATTTCTGTTGAAACTCTGAGTTTTTTGGTTTGTTGTTAAACTTCGAAGGCTCACAAGGTGGAGTAGCTGTAAATCCTGTGTATAGATTTGGTGAAAGTGAAAGATAATTTTTATTAAATATTGAAACATACACAACTGTGAGACACAGTGGCATTGCATGGGGAGGCCCTTCAGTCAAAAGAGTAACAGAATTCAACTCCTTGGACTTGTTACTTTGCTCAGAAGCATTGATTGTGTTGAAGCATTGGTGTGCTACTTGATATTTTAAACTTCTAAATGTTAATTTGAGTTGCTGTTTGGAGGGAATTCCTGTAAACCCCAGCTTTCCTTTTGTAGCTGACCTAAGCAATGGTGCAGTGAAGAAGGAGGCTTCCACAAAAGAGGTAGCAAGAATATGGATAAATGACATTAAAATGAGAAGTTTCTCACCTACCGTGGTAAGTGGTGCAGATAATTTGCCAAATGAGTGTGTTACTGGCCACAAACACCTGGGGCCAGTTTCAGGGGTTACTCATCCATGCCTTGTGTGTGGTGGAATTGTCAAGTGCAGCTGTTTTGTCCAAAAACTCAGTTTCTCCACTAAAAACTTGGTTAGATGACTAAAACTAACAGCTGTGTGGAGCAGAGACTACTGAGTAAATGACAATTTCAAGAAATTACTGTTCTTAACAGAACCTCATTGTATGTGTGAAGAAGGGTGTGCTGATTAAAGGTGATAAGCACATCCCTTGCTCTGGGGTAAGGCTTTTTCTTTTGAAATAACTGTTTTCCAATGAGGAAAGCCAGAGGAGTTCCTCTGGCACGGCTGTCCTTCTGGGCCGTTGGATTGAAGATGTAAATTGAGTATCTTTCAATTTTCTAAATGTAATAAAATTACATTCTGATGCTGTAATTGAGTTTTGGCATCTTCACTGATAGCTGGGCTCAGACTGAATTTGGGAAGAACTGTGCTCCTCAGTCACTGGCATATAGAAGCCTTTTGAGATCACTTTTGTATTAAACATTAGTAATTGTGGAAGATGTTTGATTTGTCATCTAGCAAGTACTTTACAAATATTCAAATACTTCCATTGATCAAGGCCACAGTAAAAAATGGGTAACTGTCAGGCTTCAGAGAGTACTGGGTAGAGCTGTGACTATTGTAACTATTCCCCAAAGTTGTAAAATTACATCATGAGTGTGAAACTGCTCATGACTTCAGGGGAGTACGTGTAAATTAGGGCTGTTGTGTTTTCAGGACAGTTTTCTTTAAGTCATAGTCCAGTTTTAATATGCTGTAAGAAGAGTTCCTTTTTAATTCTGCTTATGCAAGTTTGGGGTACTTGATCTCTTTGCAAAGGAGAGGAAGTTCCCTGACTTCGTGTCTCTGAAGGCTTGTTCAGAGTGTGAGGAATCTGCATTCCTGCCTGTAGTTTTCCCAGCTATTCCCTAGCTCAGCCAGCCCATGTGTTAAAACACTCAAGTCCAAGTTTGTCCTCCTTTCCTTTCTCTTGTTCGTTTTTGGGACATGGAATATTGACAATGTGCTGTTTGACTAACAGGAGTATTTCTCTCTTGCAGAAAGTGCCAGCAGTAAAAGAGGAGGAGGAACCTGAGGAAGAAGATGAGGAAGAAATGGGCCATGCAGAGACTTATGCTGAGTATATGCCAATAAAATGTACGACCTGCTGTTTAGTTACATCAAAAGGCTGAAATGCTTTCAGAGCTAATTTGTTTTGTCATTACTAACAGCAGAAAACAGAGAAGTTACTGTCTGAGTCAAGTTAAAAGAACCTAAATATGTTGTAGGTTTTCCTAGGAAATTTTTTGTCTTCTACAGTGCTTAGTTTTGGAAGATATGTGGATTTTTTTAATAGAAGGGGAATTCTTTAGTGTATCTTTGAGCAGTACTTGTTTCACAGATATGACTGATGAACCAAGATAGGCATTTTTTTTTTACCTATGTTAAGATGCCTTGTGCCTCAGCAGAGGAAATTTTGTGAAGGGATTAAGTGCTCACTGCTACACTTAAAAATCTACTTTGAGTCTTTTGGTGTGAAATCACCCTGAGCACATTCTTCCTGCATTGTTCCTGGCTGACTACTTAGAACTGGTTCTTGGTTGGTTTTCTTTTAAGTGAATCTTTTACTGCTGTTAATTGCCATCTTCTGTTTTTTCTCCTTTCTCTTTATTGTACCCATTGACAGAAAGCTGTTATCTTGTTTCCTAAGTACATTGTTGACCTGCTGTATAAGCAAGGCAACAAATTTTACATGGAGTTTGTAGCTAAACAGTTAATTTTTATTGTCACTGATGAGATCTGTCAGCAATTAAACCATGTCTGTTCTAAATCTTTTCTCCTCTCATTCTGCTTAAAAACAGCACTATATAAATAGAGAGAAGAATGTTGCTTTTGTGATTCTAGCATCCTGAGGCTGCCTCTGGCCTTTTGGGAAGACAAGGTCCAGACTGGTTTTTCTCAAACATGTCAAGTCCTCAAATAATTTAATTTTCTATTAAGTGACTTTTATCTAATTTCATAAAAATTGGGGGAAGGTGGTGAGAAGAGAAAGTATGATTGCAGTTAAAAATTGAGATTAATGTGTTCCTTGGTTTAACACTTGACAGACTGTTGCAATGAAACATTGCTGACTTTGGACTTTGCAATCACAGTTGTAATTTGTTTTGGTAAATATAATAACTTGTGCTGCAGCACCAGAGCTCTGGATCATGTTTTCATCTTCTCCCTTCCTTTTCACCCAGTAAAAATTGGGCTACGTCATCCTGACCCAGTAGTGGAAACCAGCTCATTATCCAGTGTGACTCCTCCTGATGTGTGGTACCAGACATCAATATCAGAAGAAACAATTGATAGTGGCTGGTTGTCAGCTTTGCAACTTGAAGCAATCACTTATGCAGCCCAGGTATGCCAGATATCAGTGCAGCTTAAAAGCTAACAGAGAATTTAAGAAGAAAAACTACTGTCTGACAAGCATAGCTATGTCAGTTTTACGAGATAAAATAATAAGAGCTTAAAGGTTTGAGTTGCATTAGGAGGTGGCAGTTCAGATAAATGGGAGGTAATACACCTAGGAAAGCTTTTTCTAAACCACTTCCATAATACTGATCTCTAACTGTCTTAAAACTCAGGAAGAACAAGTTAGTCATTTTTATTTCTCTGAAATAACTTAATGGCTGCAGTAGCAGCAGGCTGAGAAACTGAGCCCTGTTTGACGTCACTGGGAGGGGTATGGAGAGCAAGATTGGGTGTTATTTTGCTGCTGAATTACACTTCAGTGTGCCCACAGCAGATGTGTGTGCAGCACTCTGTGTTGGAGAAGGAGACAGTGCAATTGAACTAAAATTGTCACAGGAGGGAAGTTGCCTCTTGAAAAAAAGACTAATGTGGCTGGGCCACCTGGGGCTGCAGAGGAGAAAAGGAATGGGAATGAAATATAGGTTTACATAACCAGGAAGTCAGTGATAGCCCACAAAACCCAAGAACAAAACCGATCTTGGTGAAAGGAGATTTGGTTTAAAATGGGCAACAACACTGCTGTCCACAGGCTCTGGATGTCTGGGTCTTGCTGCTGTGAAAGGCTGTGGAAGTGCTTATTGGGGTGTTAGGAAAAGGCACTGAAAGAATTACACAGATCTGTAGAACAGTCATAGGTGTGCTGAGGGAAGAAGGGAGAATGGATCACATAAAGCAGTTAAGCTCATATGCTTTCCTTAAATAAAATCCCCTTTTCCTGCTGCCAGGAGTTTGCTTGGACCACTGGTCTTCTCCAATAGGATGTTTCTTATGTTTGCTCATTTCTGACAATCCCCAGTGATGTGTTCTGGAGAATGGGTACAAGTTTTTTGTTCTTTCTCCTACAGCAACATGAAACATTCCTGCCCAATGGAGACAGAGCTGGATTCTTGATAGGTGATGGTGCTGGTGTAGGAAAAGGAAGGACCATAGCTGGAATAATCTATGAAAATTACTTGTTAGGCAGAAAAAGAGCAGTCTGGTAAGTGTGTGAGGATTTGTTAGAGCAGACACTCCAGTGACTGTATGACTTCAATTCAGGGTCATCTGTCTTCTGACAAAAGTTGTAGCAACTGCTTTTTGAGCTTCTACTGTACTTACAGAACTTGCCTTGTTTTCTGTCCTCAGGTTTAGTGTGTCAAACGATCTGAAATACGATGCTGAAAGAGATTTGAGAGATATTGGAGCAAAAAACATATTGGTTCATTCATTAAACAAGGTGTGGAAACTTTTTACTATGTACAGTTGAGGCAAAGCCTTAGGTACGCTGGTGTGACGGGTTGTGCATGTTGACTGTTTTAAGAGCAAGAATGCACTAATTTCAATAAATGTGCTGTCTAGGCCTTGTTTGACAGGCCTTAATCTTACAAAGAACCACACAGAGCTTTAAGTTAATCATGTAAATAGGCCCCTTGTAGGATTAAGTCTTAGCATGTGCTTTTTTTTAATTACTCTTCAAGCCGCTACTGACACTGCTAGTAGAGTATTTTCTAGGAAGTTGAAGTATTCTTTAAATCTTTAAAGCTTTGTAGCATTTGATTTTTTTCCTTTCTATCTCTCAGTGCACATTTTAGATGTAATACATTTTGTGTGTAATATTTGAATAATGGACTTGCTCAGTGACTTGTTAAAGCAGCAGTGGTGTGAGCAGTTATTTTTGGAGACTGTGCCTCTGCTCAGGATTAGCCACTTAAATTGTGAAGTGTGATTGCTGATTGAATTCACTGAACTTAAAGTTTGATTTAAGTTATATTTTTGCTTTGTGAGTTCTTAGTTTCTAAACTAAAGCTTTAGAAATCATCACTTGTGGTAGCAGCAGTAAATACACTTGAGGTATTGGCTTTAAAGGGATACATTGGAACTAAAATCTCAGTTGTATTTAAATTAAGGAAAGCCTTTAGCCAAAGAATGTGTCTGTTAAGCTTCTGAAACCTCAGCTCTAGTCTTCCTTAAGTGTGTATTTAAATAAGGCCCTGTATAACCCCTTAACCATGTTACCATGTGCCAGCTGTGGGATATGGGTGGGTCACCGTGTTCACACCTTTAAGGTTGAGACCACCAGCATCCCATAATCATCTGGGAGGTGGGACTGAGGAGGGATCTCTTTTGAGTAATTTCTGTAATTTCTTTTTATTGCAGTTCAAGTATGGGAAAATCTCTTCCAAACATAATGGAAGTGTGAAGAAAGGTGTCATCTTTGCTACCTATTCTTCTCTTATTGGAGAAAGTCAGTCTGGAGGGAAATACAAAACCAGATTAAAGCAGCTGCTTCACTGGTGTGGTGAAGACTTTGATGGTGTTGTATCCTTTGTCTGGAGTTCAGTTTATTCTAACCAAACTTCTATTTAAACTTAAATCTTTACAGATAATAATGTATTTGTAGGTGTTGTTCTTTATTTGTGTTGGCAATCAGTTGTGTGCATGCTCTGACACGAGACTTGAAGTTTTATAAACTACGTGCCAGAAGTATTATCATTATCTTGTTGCCACACAACTCAGGTACAAGAAGGAAGCTTCTGCTTTTTCTATAACAAGTACATAAGATTTTTAAGCATCATATTTTAATTTTACACTAAAATTCTCTCCAGTGATTATTAAAAAAATTTGAGTATCAACAGCATTCTCAAGAGCTCAGGTGTTGGCCATTGTGTTCTTAAATACTGAACTAGTAGCTAAATGTTTTCCTAAGATTTTTAGTGAAAAAACACTAGTGTCTTCTTGAGTCAACAATTTACCTGTTGAAATTAGCAGTTTTTCTTGCCTTCTGTTTGAGATCCTCACTCTAAAAATGTGGGACGAAGTTTTCCTTAATTACAGTTCAGATTGTATTTGATGAGTGTCATAAAGCAAAGAACCTGTGTCCTGTTGGTTCATCGAAACCAACCAAGACAGGTCTGGCCGTACTGGAGCTTCAAAATAAACTTCCCAAAGCCAGGGTTGTTTATGCCAGTGCCACAGGTATGTGCTGCTGGGTTTGCACTCGGTGTCTCTGTATGTCTTTGCTGGCACTGGTTCAGACTCTGTTCTTCTCCTCAGGTGCATCTGAGCCAAGAAACATGGCATATATGAACCGTCTTGGAATTTGGGGTGAAGGAACTCCCTTTAGGGAGTTCAGTGATTTTATTCAGGCTGTTGAAAGAAGGTAATATTTCATTTCAAAGACCTACAGCAGGAACACACGTAGTTGTGCCTGACTGCTCTGCAGTTCCTTGTCTTCACTCACTCAGTCCTCTGCAGACATGTCCTGTCACACCAAGAACTTTCTAACTCTGGCAGAAATGTACTTTATCTCAGGTGATGAAAAATAGGATGTTTCTCTTGCTCACAGAAAAATTGGAGGGCTTTAGAAGCTTGTTGGGAAAAAAACCTTAATGTGGGTGTTAGGGAAGGAAAAGACTGCTCCCCATGAAAACACCCTGTGTGTGCTGTCTGCTCAGTGCAGTCGATGGCTCACTGCAGAAGGCCTCTGTTTATGCATCAGCTCAGCAATTTAATAGGAGGAAATCTCATTCTTGTCCTTACTGGCATAAGAACCCAACTCAGGGAAATTGTATCTGCTGTGGCAGAGTACTTCATACTTCAGAATGTGTCAGTAAAACTAAATGTGAGGGGTCAGAAATAAACCACTGCTGCATTCCTTGGTAGGCAAACATCTTAATATGTTTTGTCTACTTAAAGAATTTTGAACACTTCAGAAAGCTTAGTATGCATTTTATTTACCATCTGCATGATGCATGACTCTTCTAGACTGTGCAAGTGTAGTCTCACTTCATTACTGAGTATGGATCAAATGAGCAATAATGAAATTACAGCCCCAAGCCTGTGAGTAGCAAAGCTTTGAGGGTGACTTCAGTGCTCTCAAGGTATTGCTAGAGGTGTGTTGCTGCTGAAGAGAACTGAAGTTACCTACTAATTAAATAATTCTCATGCCAGCATAAATTCGAATGGCTCACTACAGTTTGTATTAATTATTTTAAATCTTCAGTGGAATCTATAAAATTACAATACAAGATTTTGTTAACATTTGGACCAACTCCATTATCCTCATACAGTTTGTAAGGTGCTGTCTCCTTGTGCTTCCTAGGTCATTTGGGAAAAAAAATAACTGAGTTCTACCTCTTGGGATGCACTTAATTCTCACAAGGCAGGGATACAGTTTTATGTAAAGGCTAAATGTCAAGACCCCCTGATGGGATGTGTTTAACAAAACAGTACTAATGATTTCAAAAACATATTCCTTCGCATTTGTAAGCTCACTGTTTTCTTCTAGAGCACTTGAGGTTGTGGGTTTGGGTTTTCTTAACAAATCCTTGCTCTTGAAAATTCTAATATGGACTTAATTTGTTCCCTTATTTTAGAGGTGTTGGTGCCATGGAAATAGTTGCTATGGATATGAAGCTGAGAGGAATGTACATAGCAAGGCAGTTGAGCTTTTCAGGTGTAACTTTCAAAATCGACGAAGTTCTGCTTTCACAGGAATATGTTAAAATGTACAATAAATCTGTGAAACTGGTAAGAACCCCTTTCTAAATTTGCTTTCTGTATTGAGTTCTGAGAGGTTGAAGTTGGTTGAAACTTGAATGCTCCTGAAACAACCTGTTGAGAGATGGGAATGGCATCTCCTTGTGTCTTTTAATATAAAGATTTCTCCATTTAAGGCTTGGCAAAAGCTGTTAATTTTTGTTCTGAGTCATCAAAGGTGCAGTTTTGGTTGTATCTTCCAGTACCTGCCAAAATCCACTGCCTTCTAGCAGTACTTCAGACACTTTGGTCACTGTTGCCCAAGATAAAGCTGTTCTATTGGTCCTACTCTTGTGCTCCTCTGCCTCCATTTAGGCAAACCAAGGCAGTGGGTTTTTCTCTTCTTGGGATGGTGCTTAATAATTAATTATGGGCAGTGCTCTCTGCTTTCTTAACCTTAATGTATTAACGGAGAAGCTAGATAATTAGAAAATACTATGTATGTTTGCTCTGGTTATAATGCAAATGTATCTGCTTTTTATTGAGAGTAATTGCTTAATTTACTAAACCATAGCTGGGTTTTTTTTGTGAGCTTTGCTGTCTGATGAGTTTCCTTAAAGTGCAGTGTCATAATACTGTAGCTTTAAACTCTCCTGTCTTTATTTGGATATTAAACAATGTATCTCTGAGCCTTCAAATACAACCTGTAAAGCCATTCACGATGTCTCCTTCAGTGGGTCAGTGCTCGGGAGCGGTTTCAGCAGGCGGCCGATCTCATCGACGCGGAGCAACGCATGAAAAAGTCCATGTGGGGGCAGTTTTGGTCAGCACACCAGAGGTTTTTCAAGTACCTTTGCATAGCCTCCAAGGTGAAGAGGGTGGTGCAGCTTGCTCGGGAGGAAATCAAGAATGGCAAAGTAAGTCGACCACAACCTATTTTTAAATATTTTTCTTAATTGTAAAGCTATTAAATAATTTTTTATATATATATAATGCAAATATTTTCAGCCATGTTTTTGTACTTTATGGTATTGAAGCTATTTAATGAGCAGAAATTCAGGCAAAATAAACTTGCAGCTCAGACCTAGTGACGGTGTGTGGTGTTCATTTGTCCCTTAGTGTGTTGTCATTGGCCTGCAGTCAACAGGGGAAGCGAGAACATTGGAAGCTTTGGAGGAAGGTGGAGGTGAACTGAACGACTTTGTTTCCACAGCAAAGTAAGACTGAAGTTTTAGAACTGTTCTTTACAAAACTAACATTCACCTGGTTTTGTGTGTGTGTGTGATTTGTCCTTTTATGTGTCAAAAGTTCATCAGTGCACAGAAAGTTGGGAATCCTTTAGTACTGATGCTCTTTACTGTAGCTTCCTGTACCTAAGATCTGACAGTATTGCTCAGGTGACCCCTTGGTTAGTTCCTAGTTCTTCTGGCATTCCAAAATGCTTTCAGGTGGGAACAGATCGTGCTATTCTACTCAAACTGGGAGGAGGGGAAGACTTACTGAGTGTGCACTGCATTTAAACCAGAGCAGGTTGCAAACCATGACTTCCTTCTATGAGATGAGCCAGAGCCAATCCCAAGGCTGCCTTGCTGGAAATCTTAATAAATTAAATTAATCTGTTACTTAAACCGAGCAATAAAAAATAGCAGTAGCAACACCACTTGCTATCAAAACCAGATTTAGTAGATTTTACGTAACAATGCTGTAAAATAAATGTCTTCTGCTTTCAAGGTGACAAATACAGCAATACAGGTGATAATATTCAGAGTGCTCCTGTGCACTCATAAGGAATCATTCCTCAGAGAGCTGAAGCAGTTAAAATGTTACAGCTTTGTATTTTAAATAAATGCAAATTCCACTGAAGAACTCCTTTTTTTTTTCTTACACAGAGGAGTATTCCAGTCTCTTATTGAAAAGCACTTTCCAGCTCCCGACAGGAAGAAGCTGTTTAGCTTGTTGGGAATTGACTTGACTGCTCAAAGTAACAACAATTCACCCCGAGACAGCCCTTGCAAGGAGAACAAGATAAAGAAACGAAAAGGTAATGCTGATGCTCTTACACTAATGCCACAGTGGAAACGGCAACTTCAGAGCTGCCTAGGAGTGAACTTTGGATAAAATATGGGAATATCTGTACAGTCATTCATGTAAGAGCATGTATTGCGGGTCTCTGAGACTTTTGTTGGAGACTTCCATTATTAGATTTAAAACTGCTGCTGAAGCACTATATCCTGTACATTTTGGGTACTTTTTGCTCAAAATCGGATTGAGCTGTTATGGGTGCAAAATGCTTTGCACAAACCATTTCCTGATGCAGTCACACAAATAATTGCTTTCTTTTCTTGAGGCTCAGTAAAGAGAAGCCTAATACACCCCCATTCCCAAACTGATTATCTTCTTGCCCAAAAGTAGGTGATGATAAAAAACTTGGGAGAGAGATTTTGCTTAGAACTTAGATTCTTTCAAACAGTTCTGTTTTTAGAAATTGAGTATTTTTCTAGTTTGTGTGCAGCAGTGGTAACACAAACCTCAAAGTGTTGACTACAAGCTTTAAACTAAGTTCTTTTTCTTCTGGGGTGATGGATCAGGTGAGGAGATAAGCAGAGAAGCCAAGAAAGCTCGCAAGACAGGGGGCCTTGCAGGCAGCAGCTCTGATGAGAGTGAGAGTGAGTCTGATGCTTCAGATAATGAAGAAAGTGACAATGAGAGCTCCAAATTCTTGAGTTCTGGAGATGATGATGACTTCAACCCATTCAGAGATGAATCCAGTGAGGATGATGAAGATGGTAAGACAGCTTGTGTTTCATCAAGCAAGTAGCTGTATTTGCAAATAATAAGCAGAAAATCTTTCCTAACCATTTCAATGAAGAACAAATAAGTGTTTGCTAATCACGTAGTTTAGTCCTAATGAGACTGGAATTAGCATTAGAATGTAAATCTTCAATTAGATTTTCCACACTGGAGTTCAGACTTCTGTAAGTCACTTTTTGCAATGAGAATGTATTTCCTTCAAAGGGAAGTATTGGCTGTTCAGTAAATGTTTGAAACTTTTAACTTTAGATCCCTGGCTCATTAGAAAAGAGCATAAAAAAAATAAAGAAAAGAAAAAGAAGAAAAGCATAGACCCAGACTCCATTCAAAGTGCCTTACTCGCCTCTGGCCTGGGATCCAAACGACCCAGCTGCTTCACTTCCACTGTTGGTACCACCACCTCGAGCACCAACACGTCTGGTAAGAAGTTTTTGATGTTGATTCGCTTTCTTAGCAGTTGGGCAATAAAATTCTAAATCTCAAAGAGTCTCTCTTAAATTTCAGCAAACAGCAACACAAACAGCAGCTTTGTAACAAGTCAGGATGCTGTTGAAAGGGCCCAACAAATGAAAAAAGAGCTGCTGGATAAACTGGAAAAGCTGGCTGAAGATCTTCCACCTAATACACTGGATGAGCTTATAGATGAACTGGGTGGTCCTGAAAATGTTGCAGAGGTAGGCTGGTGTTCACATGTAGAAAAATGTATGTTTTTAAAGAGCTTGTTCATCAGTTTTAGGCAGTAATCTCACAGGTGGTGAGAATAGAGGTTACCTTGCTGAATGGCTCTGAATTAGAGAAAATTGAGGATTGTTTTAGAGTACAGAGATGAGTTCTGAGTGGATGAACAGGTCATTTCAGAGCCTGATAGTTTCCTGTTGGGTAAATCACACCAGTTTCTCTTGCTTTATAGTGGTCTGTTTCTCTAACTAACTGTAGTCAATTTGAAGCTTTAGTTCATCCTCCAAGACAATGGAGATGAAGGACCTGGCTGTGTTAATGAAAAGCTTGATTAATTATTCTCTTTTTCTCAATAACTTCAGAAATATGTCTTCAAGCTGCCTGTCTCTATCAAGTAGAAACATCATTGTGATTTAAAAGGCCCTGTCAAAATCTATGACACTCTAACCTATCTGTTGAGTTTATTTTCTTAGTACTGCTGGTAAATCCCTTATGAACAGTAGCATAATATGACATTTTTACATAGATATGCTTTGTTATGCTTTTTTTGTTCCCTGAGTTACCTCTAAATCAGTGTTCCACATAGCGGGTCGTGGCATCAACCAAAAAATAACCCAGGTTCTCTATGTACTTTTGCACTTGGAGTAAATTGCTGACTCTATTTTGAGGTTGGTACACGAATAAATAGCAATATTGCTTGGGGCTTTTGGTCATGGAGTGGTTTTGATATTGCCACAACGAGCTTGTGTTCCCTTTTCCTTTGGAAGATGACGGGCCGCAAAGGGCGGGTTGTGAGCAACGACGACGGCAGCATTTCCTACGAGTCCAGGTCTGAGCTGGACGTGCCTGTGGAAATCCTGAACATCACAGAAAAGCAGAGGTTCATGGATGGAGATAAGGTAATCCTTAAAGAGATAAAACATGCCAGATGCCATGGCAACACCAAGCTACTGAGCTGTGGCTCAGCCATCATTGCACAGTGACTCGTAGTAGCGTTGGGATAAAGTATTGCCTAATTATGAAAGAAGGAGTGAAAAATTGTGGTTTCTTCTTTCTCACTATGCTTTCATTAGCAAGAGGAGGAGAAGGAATGAAAAATTGCACTGGAATGCTGAGACATCTTTGTTATATGTCAGTTATAAATCAAAATACATTACAGAAATATGTCTAAGAGTTATCCTTTCTCTGAAGAAGAGAAGCTCCAGTGACCTTATTGTGGTCTTTCAGTACCTGAAGGGAGCTACAGGAGAGCTGGAGAGGGCCTATACTATAAGTACTAGTTAATAAGCATTTTCTGTTCACTGCTGTGTGTTTTGTTTTTCAAATCAGTGTGTTCCACTGTGCTTGAAAGGTCAGACAGTAGTTTGGGTGACCTCAGAGGCTTGTCCTTGAGGTGTGCACCCATGTGCCAAACCAAAAACTTGCACCTTTAAGCTGATCTTGTAAAACAAAACATGTTTAAAAGGCAGATTTGTGGTTCATATCTCTGATTCATTGATCTGGATAACTGTGTACCTCTCCTTCCAAGAGGTAATAGTGAAATTGGGAAATGGGGAAAACCACTGACTTGGTATGAAAAAACTTTCAGGGACAAGGTGAGGTTGTTAACCCTAACAAGGATTGAGAAGTAATGCTGGGAAGAGTGATGGCTTTTGTCCTTTACATTGCAATCTGAAAGAAAATCCTGACTGGAATGATGGTAGGGACTGAAGGTGATAAAGAAGGAGGGGGGAAAAGCCCTTCCCAGTGGTTCACTTGGGCCTTGCTGCCACAAGAGGGCAAATGGAGTGCATGTCACTGTGTGGAACTTGTGTGGTCTGTTGTGACACTTGAGGGTAAAGACTCAGTTCCTGTAAGTGACTTGTGCACAGTCCAAACACTTACATTCTTTGAAGGCACCGGAGTGTCCAGATCCTCCTCCTTATACAGCAATAGCAGCAACTTTTTGTCTTCTGTGTTACTATTGGAACAAGTCTCTGTGTCCCCTCCCTTCTTTCTGAACTGCCGGCCAATGTCAGAGCAACCTGCTCTCTGGGATGGCAAGACTGCAGCATGTACCACCTGCTTTCATTTGTACAGAGATGATGTTGAAAAGTAAAGAAGCAAAACCCACTCCTTTCAGTCCAAAAAAATTAATTAACATTTCTAACTCTGATAAAGGGAACCACACCTTGTCTCCCCTCCCTCCTACTTGCGATAGGAAGACCAAGTAACAGTGACACCACTCCACTCTAGTGTTTGCTAATAGCTGTATAATGAGATTTTTCTTAGACACTGAAAACTGAAGCTTGATTTTGGGTTTATATTTTTCTTCCTCCAAGAACATTGCCATCATCTCAGAGGCTGCCAGCTCTGGGATATCATTGCAAGCAGATCGGAGAGCCAAGAACCAGAGACGGAGAGTTCACATGACCCTGGAGCTGCCCTGGAGTGCAGACAGAGCAATACAGCAGTTTGGTAAATACTTCTTTTTGTATCCTTTCTCTGGCAAACTTAGTAATACTGCCTGAGTGTACTGCTGACTCACGGGAGATCAGATTGAGTAGGTGACCTCTTAAGGACCCCTCCAGTCTTCTTTACTCATGAGCAGAATCTGCTTTTTCTGCAGTCATAGCTAATTGTCTTGAAAGTTTTGAAAGAAACCTTGCAAACAAGCCTGTGCTGCAGCTTTGGAGTTTTATTCATGTATCCAGTGTCTTCATAAAAGTTACCACAACTCTAGAGCATCTGTGCTGCCTTCTGTTGGCTGTAATATGGCAGAAACTTAATTTTCAGCAGGATTAAGTTCTAGCTTTTTTCCTCACTCTACACAATTCATAGTTCATTAGAAATATTCCATGAAGTGGAGTTTATTTAACATACATGCTTCTATTTAATTATCCAGGAAGAACTCACAGATCCAACCAAGTGACTGCTCCAGAGTATGTGTTCCTCATTTCTGAACTGGCAGGAGAGCAAAGATTTGCATCCATAGTTGCAAAAAGACTGGAGAGCTTGGTAAGATTGTTTCAAGTGGTCTGAACCTTCATTTGAGAAAATGCAAATTAGATTTCTTTTTCTTAAAATTCTGTTTAATGACAACTGTGTGTCTTAACAGGGAGCCCTCACCCACGGGGACAGAAGGGCCACAGAAACTCGAGACCTCAGCAGATTCAATTTTGACAACAAGGTGATGGTTCTATTTTTGTTGGAAAACCTGTGCTGTGGTGCTTATTCCACAAATGACCTGTTGAGGAAGGATCTTTCCCATCTCCTACCTTTAACTGTATCACTTTCTGAGGTAGCCAGTAACATTCTTAATTCTGTTTGCAAAGCCATGTAGAACAGGAATGTGTGTAAATCGCTGTTCTACCTTGGCAAAATCTTAACTAAATGGTGTGTCCTTTCCATCACAGCTGAAAGATTGATTTGACAGTTCTAATTAGAAATTAAGACTGCTTTGTTTTCAATTATAAGCTACACTACATAAAGGTAATAACCAATTCCCTTTACTATTGCAGAGAAAAATGTTTTATTGTGAATCAAAGTGTATGTGTGCTTGGGGCACAAAGACTGGATCCCATTGATAGAATAACTTTCTTTTCCTTTCACAGTATGGCAGAAATGCTTTGGAGATTGTTATGAAATCCATTGTGAACTTAGACTCCCCAATGGTCTCACCTCCTCCTGATTTTCCTGGAGACTTCTTCAAAGGTAAGATAATTCACTGGCTGCAATAGCTTTCTTTTGATCCTTCTCCAGTAGGCAGAAAATGCAAATAATTTGAGAGCTATAAAACATTGTTACTATTTAAACTGATCAGCTGGGACAGATGGGAATAACAGCCAGGGAGAGTCTGTGCACGTTGCTTGAATGTTGAAGTTCACGTATGAAACAAGATCCGTGAACTCTCAATAAAAGGAATGTTCTGTATCTGCTTGGCCTGACTATTATATACAGTTCTTTAACTACACTTTCCCATTATCCATTGTGATATCTTGTTCTCATCCATGGTGCCACTGGTGGTTTTCACTGTCTCTGCTTCCTGGAGGGACAGAAGGCAAAATCCTGTCTTGCTTATTGATGTATTAGGTAGAAATTGTAAGTAATGGAATCGAGGGGTGTCACAGTTTTGGAATTGGATCCCATTGCTAAACAAGCTGTTACTTCATTGGGTTATTTTTAGATGGCAAAGCAGCTCTGATTGAACTTCCTTCTCTTTCCTAGATGTTCGTCAGGGATTGATTGGCGTGGGCTTGATAAATGTAGAAGACAGATCCGGAATACTGACACTTGATAAAGGTACTGGTGTGTTCAGTGTATCTTTGGGATGCTGCTGGGAATATCATATGCCATGACAGTGGATTCCTAGCAACAGGACTGAACTTATTCTATCTTCAACTATCTAAGAAGTTACTCTTTTGAAGAGCGTAATGTTTTCTCCATTTCTGAAAGAATGGATTTAAATAGTCTTTGAGACTCTTTGAGTAGTGATTAAGAGCTTGTTATTATCAAACTTAATCTTTGTTGACCTAAAACATGTATTTCTTTTTTTTTAAGATTATAACAATATAGGGAAGTTTCTGAATCGAATTCTTGGAATGGAAGTCCATCAGCAGAACGCTTTGTTCCAGTACTTCTCTGACACGTTAAATGCAGTTATTCAAAATGCTAAAAAGAATGGGAGATATGACATGGGCATCTTAGGTGAGTAAATAATTTGTCAGTACTCTTGTACTTGTGTGAGAACAGAGAAACAGAATAAAACTGTGCTTTCCTTTTCAGATTTGGGCTCTGGGGACGAGAAAGTAAGGAAGGCAGATGTTAAGAAGTTTTTAACTCCTGGATATTCTACCTCTGGACATGTAGAGCTGTACACAGTAAGTTAATTCTGTATCATCTTTATCAAAACTGACATACTAAAAGCTTTTACAACATGTTTAGTTCCTGTGTGTATAACTGTTTTAAAGTCTGTTCCCACTCAAGTACTCCCACTCTCTTGTAGATCAGTGTGGAGAGAGGAATGTCTTGGGATGAAGCAACAAAGCTCTGGGCTGAACAGACAGGTCCAGATGATGGATTTTATTTATCACTACAGGTAAGGTTCTTCTGTCTCTTGGTTTATGTTCAGGGAAATGTAACCTGAAAAATTTACTGTTCAAAGTAATCACTGCTCAGTTTTGCAAGATACTTTTTGAGTCTTAACAAATTCATTTTAAATTTGTTTTTAATGATGAGTATGAAGTGCTCCTTTTAGCTGCTCGGGATATTTTTGATAGGAATATAAGCCCAAAATAGTAACTCTTATTTAAACCTGTATCAAGAAATTAGGTGCTTTCACTGTAAGGAAAAGCTGGGAAGTTAATGTGGATCACTGTGTTCTAGAGGTGTATTATTATTCCTGGTTGTAGTATTACAAACTCTTACTACTCTGTAAAGAACACAGAATGGAATCACTTAAGACAGACACTGTCATCATGTTTAAATTTAGGAAGTTTTTGGTTTGTCTTTCTTTTTGCAGATAAGAAATAACAAGAAAACGGCAATTCTAGTAAAAGAAGTGAATCCTAAAAAGAAGCTTTTTTTAGTATACAGACCAAATACTGGGAAACAACTCAAACTAGAAACATGTGCAGACCTGAAAAAGAAATATAAGAAGGTAACCATTAAAATTATGCTTGTTTTAAACTGGAAAAAAATTGAAAATAACTATAAGGGCTTTCTTTTTCTGGTATTTTTATATAATTCTGGCAAGTCAAAAACTAGGCTTCTTTCTCCAGAGCAGGGCTTGTATTTAGGTCTTTTTAAGCAGGTCTGCATGGTTCTGGCATTCCTAAATCCAAAACTTTCTGAATATAAATTATCTGTGGTGTGGTAATACAAAATGAGGTTCTCTAGCAAGTGTTGAATTTGTAAAAACTTGAGGGAGCAGTTCAGGTTGATTTACTGAAAAAACTCTGAGGTTCTGCTGCGTTTGAGCATTTTGCTCATTCTTTGGGATGGACAGTTTGAAGTTAGGCTGTAGGATGCTGTACCTCTGCACCATCATAGTGTTGGTGCTCCCTCTTTTCTCACAGTAATGAACAAATTGCTTGTGTTCTGTGTAAGTGCTGATGTGTTTTCCTTTATTCCCACTCTTCCAGGTACCCTCTGAGGATGCTCTGCCACACTGGTTGGAGCAGTACAATTCCTCTGCAGACACCTGCACCCACGCCTACTGGTCAGTGTTTGTGTGCACACCAGTGCTTTCATTTGAACTGGTTTATCACTTCTTCTGTTACTCTTGTGAAATATTCCTAAAGAGAAATTGTCCCATAACCAGTCAGATGACCCAACTTTCAAGTGAAAACATGAAGCTTTGCACTCCCCCTAAAGTCCTAATGTATGAGATGAATGCTCTTGTATAAATTACACTCAGTAGAAGTGCGATGACCCAGGAGTAGCTTGTGCTCGAAGTGTCTTGAGCTGAACTGTGATCTGATAGTTCAGATGTTATTTGGGGGGGAAAATGTTTATACTTTGTGTAGAGATGAGATGGATGGGAGAAACAGCTGTTCCTGTGCTGCCTGTTGTGTGTCTGAACTCAGCTATGGCTGAATTCCTGAGGAACAGCACAACTGGTAGAAGTTTCAGATTGATATCGGAGCTTCTGAAATGCACTGATCAGATCCCAGTGTTGTTTCACATACCATCATTCAGGTCACCTGAGAATGGCAGTGTCTCTGACTCTGTACATTTTGAAGAGCACTTTACCATCAGAGCCCTGCTGTCCCTTAGTGTGTCTCACAGCCCTCACTTGACTCTGAATAACATCTTAAATAACTTCAGGTCTCATTTTTAATGAAATTGGATACCTTCTGTTTTGCAGAATTGTTTTGAAAGCTTTTTTTCCCCCCCTCTGTCTGTAGGAGAGGCAATTGTAAGAAGGCAGGTCTGGGACTGGTGTGTGAGGTGGGACTGCGCTGCCGGACCTACTACGTCCTGTGTGGCTCCGTGCTGAGCGTGTGGACAAAGGTGGAAGGAGTTCTGGCCTCTGTGAGTGGGACAAATGTGAAGATGCAGATTGTTCGCCTGAGGACAGAGGATGGGCAGAGGATCGTAGGTAAGTGCACTGCTCCTCCTTTACTGCCAGCTTGGAGGAGAAGGAAGTTGTCACTTTGTCCCAGACTTGTGTAAAAGATGCTTCTGAGACAACAGGCTTGTCAGGGTGTCTGTTGGGGAGGGGCAGAACTCCAGCTGTTGACATCTGTATTTCAGCAGTGTAATACAAACAGTGTTTGGAGGTAGGTTAAAGAAGGAAGAATTTGTTTTCAGCCAGGCTTTGGGACACTTATTCTCTCAGTTCTTTTGATTTACTCAGAACAAAAACATCATATTTGGTCTCTGCCAGCCAAGCTACCTTGAAATCATAATGGCTCCACTTTCCTCCCTACTCTTGAAAGAGATGAGTAGGCACTTGAAATAATTGTTTTCATAGTTTTTGGACTACTGAAAGTGTGCAGAATGACTTCAAGTTTGTCTTCTCACTAAACCTCTTAGTGAAGCCCTCAGAGCAGGGACCTCAGAGCCTGAAATGTCTGTATTTTTTTAAATGTGGATTTCCTCTGGATATGCAATATCCTGGCAGCTCCTCCTCTAGGAACAGTTTTCTAGGATGTTGGAACTAGGTTTAAACTTCCTTGATGGTGTAACTTCTGTGAGACTAGAAAAGCCAAAATAGCCTATATGTGGTTTCATGTGAGAGTGAGTGACATAAGAATAAATTTTGTCACCGGGTCAAAATTTTTAAGGTCGTGAAGCAGGAGAAAGGATGAACCTCTGAGAAGCAGAACTTGTGGCTGTGCTGATTAGACTTGGCACTGCAAACGCTCACTGACTGTTGCATAAATTACATGGTGGAATCACCAGCCCGAGGTTTTAACCAACAAAGTGTTCATGGAACAACTGATTGGTTGCTGTTCCCAGGTTTGATCATTCCTGCAAATTGTGTGTCGCCCCTCGTGAACCTCCTGTCGACGTCCGACCAGTCGCAGCAGCTCGCGGTGCAGCAGCAGCAGATCTGGCAGCAGCACCACCCCCAGAGCATCACCAACCTCAGCAACGCATAGGAGGAGGACAAGCTACAGGTGTTGACTCTGGTGTTTTGAGGAAAAGGCTGTAAAAGCATATCACTTGCATAAAAATCAGGGACAGATTCCAAAGAAATATAACTTTTTCAGTTCAGTTGTGTGCTCTCAAATACTTTGGGAATAAAGAGATCCTAAAAAGGTTGGTAGAACTGAAAGCCAGCAGTTGTTTATGGTGGTGCATCTGTCTTTCCTTATGCTCTCTGTAGTGCTTCCTGTTTGCTTTTACTTTTGGCCTTTTAAGCTACAAACCACGATTTGTTTGAAAACGCTTGAAAATCCCCAAGCAGGCTTTATTTTTATCTTGTCATACAGTGCTCAGGGTTTAACGCAGTGCATCGATGCCATTGCTGTGGGAGATCTCGAATGCATGTATTGAGTATATATATAGAAAATATATATTGGGTTTTTCTCTTCAATTTGAGTTTATAAAAGCATGAAACCTAGAGATTGCACATCATGCATTCAGGTTCCTTCCCAGTTTCTGTTTGACAGTGCATGTCTTTGGAAACGGGCATGGACAGGATAAACACACGAGGCAGGAATTCAGAGAGAAACACAATCTTAGTTGTACAGCATTGGTTATTGCATTTTTATAGTGTTTATACCCAGGTGTTGCATTTTTTCTGGTTCTCTCCTGGGGGTTATATATTTGAGTCTACAACATGTTCTTTTTGTGATAAACATCTTAAATTAAAATTAATTCATTTTTAATGTATTAATGGTATTCCTAATGTGTACTGCAAAGATGGCTGGATGCCTGTTTTTCCTTAAATTGAAGCATTTCCTTAATCTGAGGTGGTTATGGAAACTTAAGTGCAAATTCACTTCCATCTCGCATACAATCTTCTATTTTTTACTTCATTAACGTAATTTAATTTGTCACTTGTAAGATGAAACCTTACTTGAGCTGTAAATTAGAGAATGGGAAACACTTGAGGGTTCCGCTGTATGTGCTGTTTCTGTTACCCAGTAACTTGAATACTGTTTAATATGTTGTAAGACATTGTAGAGTTTATCTGGAGCTGTTTAAAAGAAATTGTAATGTACAAATGTGAATAGTCACTTATCTATAATATGGGTAAGTTTTGTTTTGCCTATAATAGTAGATGTTTATAAGAAAGTGAAGGACAATGTTTGTCATTTCTTGCTTGCACAGGTTGCACTATTGAAAAATTGAGATTGTATAAACCTGTCCAAAAAAACTACAAGATAATGATCTTGTAGATGTCAAATAAAAGTTATTGTACTAACAAGAAGTGGAGTCTTGTTTAGGCAATCACGGTATTCCAAAAAAACTAACAAGTCTGTGCAATTGGAATTTGACAGGACTTGGCATGTTCCAGGCTGCTCTAACCAGGCTTCTGTCTTGCAGCCCAAATCTCTCAGCTGAACTCGCTAATGAGGCAAGAACTAAACTCTGTTTAAAGCTCCAAATGTGTGTTTTAAGGAAGGCTCAGCTGCCAGAGCAGGAGCACTGCAGGGGTGGTACCTCCCGAGGGTCAGAAGGAGCTTCTCCGTAAATAACGGGGCAGAAGTTCCACAGCTTGGGGCCAGAGTGTGTTCCCTTATGGAATTGTCCTCTTGAGGCCGGAGTGTGTTCCCTTATGGGAATTGTCCTCTTGAGGCCAGAGTGTGTTCCCTTATGGGAATTGTCCTCTTGAGGCCGGAGTGTGTTCCCTTATGGGAATTGTCCTCTTGAGGCTGCAGCGTGTTCCCTTATGGGATTGTTTCCCTTGAGGCTCAGTTAACTCTGCCTTTGCCACCAGCCCAGTGCTCACAGAGCCCCTGCTCGGCAGGGAAGGGAGTGTGCCCATCTCCTTCAGCTCCAGCCTGAGCTGGTTGGGAGATTAAACCCCTGCTCACGCTTGGGACTAACTGGGAATACAGACCTGGAATAAATCCTCTGCTCCCTGTTGCTGTAGCACCTGCTGCATCTCTGTAAATCCTTGGAATGCAGGTGGTGGGTGTTGGGAGCAAGGGAAGTGTGCCGGAGTGCCGTCGGAGCCCTGGCAAACTGTGCAGCACAGGGTGTGGGGAAGGATGTTCCTGTGTTCCATACCCCCAAGTGCATGGATTTGGCATCCATTCCAAGAGCAGAGATGGGATTTTTGAGGAGTGTGTTGACGGATCACAACTGCAGCAGACAGGGAACCAAAGTGCCAGTGAGGGCAGGCTGGGTGGGGACTGCCCTGGCTCTGGCTCTTAATTGTTATTTAATGTAGAAACTTCTGGGATCTGAGATGGTAACAATGTTTTAGGTCTTGATTGTCAGTGAGATGGTTCTAAAAGTCCCAGGTTCACAATTAGTGATTTTTTTTCAATTTTTTATCGTTTGTAAAAAATTACTTAGACTTGCTCAGTTCCTAAGTGCTCTCCTCAGCCTGATGTTGCTGGGATGAGCAAATGCTGGATATTCCCTGTATTGATAAGCAAACCAAGCTGAAATTTTATTTCAGCCTTTTAAACTTTCCACAGACTTGTGTCCCTTGGAGGGGGAAAAAAGCTGACAGTACTTCCAAGATCCCTAAGAACCGTTCCCATTCCAGAAATCTATTCCTCCACTTGCTGTCCTTTGCCTGCTCTCTGCTACTTGCCACCATCACTGCCTTGGCTTTGCCACCCAGTTACTAACACAGCTGCAGCCACGGCTCTGGACTGTTAAACATCTTAAAGGTTAACAGCAAAAAAAGAAAAAAAAAATAGCCTTCAAGCTCCAGCAAAGTTTTCTCTCTTGAAAATTCCTGCTCAGGGGGTTGGGATGGGGGTTTGGGGCAGTTTGTTCTCTGCATGAGCTGCTGCTCCAGCTTGGGGAGAAAAGGAGTATAAATAGCACTGGATGGGGTGAGGAACAGTGAGTGGTGTCCCTTTGCAGCACTGCCCCTGAGACAAACATCCTCCTGGGCAGGAAAGGAGACCAATTGTCACTATAAATTACCAGGCAGGGACGGTCTCTGTATTTTCCTGCTTGTGGGGTATTGATCTGCTTTGTAAAAATGAAGTACAAAATGTTCAGTGGAGTGGGTACAAAACTTACAGAGGGCAGATGTCTCTGATAAAGGGGCAAAGCCACGTGTAAAATGGTGTCAACTTCTGCGCCATGGGAGTTTTGGACTCGTGCTGCAGAAGGGGAAGGTACATAATTAAGTTGACTTGAGAACTGAAACTCAAATTTTGGGGTTTCTTTTCTAAACTGTCCCTTGACAGCAACTAAATTATGACTTGTTAACTATGTCTGACACATTAAATGCAGTTGTAACCTCCTAGAATCCTCCTCCCACAGCAAGTTTTCCACTATTTCCAGTGGTTCATTGGGAACACACACCTCTTGTAAGGACTTCCAAGTTCCCTGAAGATGCGAGTTGTCTACTCTGTGTGTAGTATTTTCTTTGTAAATGAAGAAATCTCTGCAACCTGTAAACGCTTGTCCAGTGAATTACCCAGGGGATTTGTATTTTCCTTTGGCATTTGGAATAACTTCCCTCTGCTCCAGCGCAGTCTGTACATATATAGAGTCTGTATGTATATAGAGGTGTTAAAGGCTACTGAATATTGAATGTAAATAACTCCTGTTTTCCTGTGGTTTTTTTTTCCTTCATTCCCTTCCCAAGATGTATTCCTATTTTCTCAACCTGCCACATGGGCAGTTTGTGTGTACTTTGAAATATATAGAGATCATATATAAACCTCCCAGGGTGTGTGTGTGCATTGGGGATGTTCCTTGTTGTCATCAGTGTTTTAAAAGCTCGGTGTCCGTGTTCCGTGATCCTTTTGATGCTCTGTGGTTTTATTCTATATTTTTAGTGTATAATGCATTTTTTTGAGAGAACTGATGTCTTTCAGTGACACAGCGAAACAAATATTTGACTTTTTACAGAGTTTGTTTCCTTTAATCTTTTCAGTGCATTTCAGATCTTGAGCTTTAGTCCTAGAAACATTTCCATTTTCTTCCAATTATTTTTATCTCCAGTTGTGCATTCAGCGAGCTCCTACAATCAGAGTTCTAGAATTAAATTCTATCCTGTCCTAACATGTCAAAGTGTATACTACATTCAGATTAAATGTGACTTAAAAGCACTCTAGAAGGGTGAGGATTTCATAGAATCTTAGAATGTTAAGGGGTTGGAAGGGACCTTAAAGACCATTCAGTGCCAACCCCTCTGTCATGGGTAGGGGCACATCCCACTAGACCAGGTGTTAGTAAACAGTTTGTTCTATTTGCTGGTTTGGAAGTGGAAATGATGCATCTGTTGTAGAATATTTCCTGGGGAAACTTTGAGCGTCCTGTCATGTCTAAATGTGCAAAATGAAGGTAGTGGAACTTTCTTACCTTAGAAAAAATGATGCATTTCTTAATTGTCAGGTAAAAACACATATATTTACCTCAGAGTTGGAGATAAATGAGAATCCTTAGCTGGTCCTTTCTGTGGTCAGTCAGGCTTTGAACAGTGAAGGTGGAGAATGAAGGAGGGTGGTTTGCTCAGTGCTGCAGCTCCAGGGTTTGGCTCTGTGTCATGGGCTCCTGGGGATGGAGGGGGTTGGCAGGAGGAACAAAGTAACACAACCTCCTTAGGTTGGGTATTGAGTTTGAAAAAACACTGGTTTTGAGGAGAAAAACATGAAAGAGGGAAGAAAAGGCTGTAAACAGCTGAGGGCAAGTTGCCCCTAAAAACTTGTGCTGAAGAGAACAAGATGTAAAAACCTCAAGAACTTCCTTGATCTGATGTGCTTTGCTATTTCTTTATGGATCCAAAATAATTTTGGAATAAAGTTTGAGGCACTAATAAGATTCAAGAGTAGGAACTGGGCAGGTTTAAGATGAAGCCAAAACTCATGTAAGTTTTTCACCTGAACGGATCCTGCAGGTTTCTGTTGTCCTGCACCCCATGTGTGAAGGATCTGAGAGATCTGTGTGGAGAGCACAGGCTGAAAGGAAAGGATCTGGTGCAGCTAAACCAGAATACGGAAATACATTCGGATTTAAGGGATGTCCTGCAGCGTTAAATACCTGAACCAATGTGAGTTCCATTTTATGTCATAAGAACTAAGTTTGGATGGTGCCTCTGAACTCAGCTGTGCTCAGGGCATCACTTCCATGAGAGGGGTCACTGTGGAGGAATAGCCTTCCTACACTTGATCTTCACTGGGAAGGATAAAGAGACATTTCTACTGCCATTTCTGATGACATATTGATGTCTCCAATCCTGATTTGGAGAGGATAACGTGGAAAATGCCAGATTCATTGCAGGCACAGAATCACATTTTTATTTGCCAAGTCATTTGATTTATTTATCAGCCACTGACATATTGAATTTTATTGGAAGTGGGTGTTTGCTGCCTTGGCACCTTCCAGCAGCCCTGGGGAGGGTCTGCACTCCCCTGCAATAACCCACTGTGAGCCTGCCCTGGCACAAAGGACATGCTCAGCTTTTAAAGGAGGACTTTGCTGTTAGTACTTCTTCAGTCACACCTTTAACAGTCCAACGTGACAGAATTCCAGAGACACGCAGGATTTAAGCTGAATTGTAGGAGTTCTTTTTATTGCCTGCCCTAATTGGAAAGCTTTGCCACCCTTAGAGCCTCCATCCTGCAGGAGTTGTGCTGCACATCCCCACGTTCTCTGTGCCAGCAACCAAAACCTGCGTGTGCCAACTGTCCAAGAGTGGCAGAACTTGGAGTGCCTGGCAAGAAAATATCACAGCAGTGTGCAGAAAGAGTTATACTCCCCAAAATGACAAACTGAACACGATGAGTTCTGTACTGAGTTCTTTCCTTTTTGGTAAAAAATTGTTAAACAAATTAAACTGACTACTATGTTGGGACTTTTTTTCCCTCTTTTAATTTTCTGCTGTGGAATTTGCCCATCCAGAGATGCTGGAACACCTTTCAGCAACACATCTGCATACCTTAAACGTACTCATTGTCACTCCATTTTAGGATCCTCCAGACCAGCAGAAGTCTTGTTGTAATGATCCAAACAGCTTTTCTTTCAATCCCCTTGAATCCCCAGCACTTAACCTGGTTAATGTCACTAGTTAATTAAACTGCCTTTATTAGCAGTTGAGAACAAATTCACAGCATTCTCTGAATGTTAATTGCAATGATCTTAAAAAAGGGAGGAGGGCTTACAAAAACTGTATCAAGATTGGAAAGTATCAACTTCTTAATGTTTTATGCAGAGCATGCAAATGTCTTTCCTTTATCCAAAGACTTAGTTTGGGATAAACAGATTAATCTACTCTTATGTTTGTACATCTTCTTATATTGACTTTTATTCTCATTTTCCCCAAATTTGGAAAAGTGTTGATGCCAAGTTCTCAGCAATAAATGAAGATGCCCAAACCTCAGAATTTAATTATTCATTTTCACAAAGCAGTAGACTTTGTTCTGCAAGTAAGGGAGAAATGTCTTAAGAGAAGTTTTGGTTGGCTCCTTTCCAGTACGTAAATAATACACCTTAAAAATGCCAGCGAGGCAGCTCGTGAGCTGACAGCTCCTTCCTTTGGAAGTCCAGGTCTGCTTTGTGTGCTCCTCCCTTCCACGTTTATGAAGTGGAAGGACTGACTGTGTCTGGTAAATGCACAATGAATTGCAGGGCACGAAACCAAGATCTGTATCGGTTTAGCCAGAGAAAGTTAAATCACAAACCGAAGTGCAAGTGGTTTAATTCCTCCTGGGTGAGGTCTCCCCTGAAGTCACCTGGAGGGAATACAAATGGGAGCAATGGAACGGTGAAGATCCGAGCCTGTAGCTGGGCTCCACAATCTCCACAAACTGCTTCACGCAGTCGGTGCTTGGGATTGGGATTGGGATTTTCCTGGCGACAGCTCCTGCCTGCTTTTGTGAGCGGCTCCCCAGCTCTGCCATCCCAGCTCAGGCTGCTGAGCCTCCTGCATCCCACTGGCCCCTCGCTGCTTCCCAGGGTGGACTCAGCAAAGCGCCCGTGTTTCGTCCCTTCTCTGGCAGGAGGAAAGCCCATCCCAGCCCCACGAGCTGCTGGGGAGGGGAGGATGCCCTGGCCTGCTCTGCCCTCCCGCAGCCCTTTGGGGCAGGTGGGTCAGGGCCTCGGGGCTCCTCCTTTGGCTGGAGCCTCCCTGTGCTGTGTCTGAGCCTGGCAAGTCTCGGGCTCAGACTGCGCTGCTTAAATCGCCAACGCTGCCGCCCGTGAGGAGCGTCCGCCAGGGCTGTAAATCCTTCACATCCGGGATTGTCCCTCCCTTTCTGTGCACGCACAGACTCTGACACAGAGGGACAGCGAGGCGGCTGCCAGGATGCAGCATCTGCCGGGGGAGCTACCTGGCCACGGCTCCGTGGGGAAAACCCACAGCCTGTCCACTCCAGAGGGAGCTGGGGGCACCCCACGACCTCCCCTCTTCACTTTGGGAGGGGGAAGGATGGGCTCGTAGGCACTGCTCCAGGGCAGGAGGCTGCTGCTGTCACTCCTCAGGTACATGTTTAGGGAGAATTTGATTATTTGGTTGCTAAAAATACTTGGTGTTTCCAAGCCCTGATGCTGTGGGATCACCCTGTCCCGCTGCCTCCGCTGGGAGAGAGAACTGGCACTGCAAGGCTCTGCACCCACTCAGAGCTGGGTACAGGGGCTTCACACCAGCCATCCTCGTGCACAGGCGTCACTTGGCAAGAGACTTCAGGGCTCTCCCTCCTGCTCCAAGCAGTGTCCTGGGGCAGGAACTCAGCAGGCCTGTTAGACTCACCCTGGCAAAACCTGTGTCTGGGCTCTGGGCTGGCCCAGGGAGGGAACTGCTCTGCCTGGCAGTGCCAGCCCAGGGCTCCACGACACCGACAGAGACCACTGAGGAGCTGCCCGTGCCACACTCAGCACTCCAGAGACTGATGGTGCTTCACTGTGATTTACCTCCTTTCCCCTGCTCCTCTCCCCCCCCACTCTGAGTTGCTGTGAAGCTCCACATTCCTTTCCTCGCAGTCATTTCCATTTTCCAGCTCTGGGCTTTGCTTTCACTCTCTCCTCCACTTCCTTTGCTCAGATGACCAGTAACAAAACAATCAGAGATGCTCCCATCAGGATCCAGAGCTCTGATCCCATCGGGCTCTGAGGGACAGCGGTGTTTGTGCTTCTGGTTATTTGTTTCAGGAAAACACCACTGGTCTGGTGACACTTGGTTTGCACTTGGAAGGTTTTCTGTGATGCTCAACCCCAGTGTGTCCCTGCAAACTGTGATTTGACTCTGCAGCCATGGCAGGTGCCACGTGGATGATTATTTCACGTGGTGTTTGATGCCAGCCTGCCTTCAGGAATCACTCCAGGTGAGCCAGCACTCAGCTTTGCTGTGGATTCCTGTGCTCCCAGACGCAGAGCAGGTTCAGGAGCTTTCCCAGACAGGGCTGGGATGAAAGCAGGTCTCTGAGGCTCCTCTGCCCCAGCCAAAGGGTGGGGTATTCCCTGCCCCGGGCCCGCAGCCACGCAGGGGGAGGCAGAGGCAGAGGGCCGTGCCCCAGCCCAGCAGTGCCAGCTCACGCCTTGGCACAGCCTTCAAGGGCTCGGGAGTGGGAGGAAAACAAGAGTCCAGCCTGCAGGGCAACA